AGATATATATATATATATATATATATATACATGACTAAACGAACTTTATGGTTGCACGGCAGTTACGCATCAGTGGCGTCACTGATGTTGCTGTCTTTGATGATGATGATGATGAATAGTCTATCTGTTTGAGTTATTCCCTCTGTATTGCTATGTTGATTTCTTTCCTATTGTCCTGAGATGACCTCGTCCTTTCTGGCAGCTATAGCATTTTTCCAGGTTTTTAATTTCACATGCAGGTAGTTAGCATGGTCATGTGTCAACCTTATAGGTAATGCCATGTACGATAGAAGTCAGTCTTTGTCTTGTGAACCTTCAACGATCCGTATCGAATTCTCGTTCACAAGGCCAACAAAAGAATATTAAATAAGCCTTTTGAGGATCATAAGGGAAACTACTCACAAGGTTGCTGAAAACTCCTCGACAGCCCACGACCGGTTTCACCCTTCTTGGAGCCCGTCAAGTAGGCAGAGTCCCCGACATTCCGTCAACCTCATGTTCTACTTGAACCCAAATCGGACTGTTTTCGAGAAATACACTCATTCACAAGTCAGTTTGGTTTTTTGAGAATCACTCTCTAACACCGTCCCTCGCCCGGTTTGCCGGATTGTCTACGCGTTCCCAGGCTTCCCTTTGTTCTACAGTCTGCTGCTAATCGATCATCTGGTTTACTATTCTCCGTGGTTCATCGCATTGTCTCTAGCTCTCCCGATTCGTTCCGGGCGCAGTCCTTTCACAAAGCAAGGTCACTTGAGCAAAGCTAATGAATTCTTCCCACTTGGTGTTTACCAGCTTGCACCTTGTAGCAGCAGCAACCAACCAGCCACCAACACAACTCTACGAGTAACATCAACAATTGTTTACCCAAGATGCATTGGTGTGGATTTAAGCCAGCTGCTGTCAATTTCGGATTTCATCTTAGTTGGGTAATTGGATTACTGTTGCGGTGATTCACCGAACAATTATGTTAATTTAACTCGAAAAAGCAACTGCCGAGCAAAACAGTTTGGGAAGTACATTTCTTACCATCTCCGTGAGGACTTGCAGTTGGGATGCAGGGAACGGAAACTCGAAAATGTGCCTGAAATTTGTTCTTTCGGTTGAAGGTCGACGCTCCATAAATGAAGTGGTGCTTTACACTTTTAGAAACAGGATAGCATTACATCAAGAGAGGCCAGTCTTCTATGGATAACACTCTAGTGATAGTTTACCGATTAGGGCGCTAATTTATTGACGGCAGGTCCGTTGTTCGAACCCAATCCCAGCGTCCTGACTGCTCCTGTATAGGCTTGGGAACCCCCATCCTTCCTTTGGGTAGAGCTCCAGTGTTCTCTGTCAGCTACGACCCAGTGGGCAGGACCCACGACCCAGAGAGACCATTCCCGCCCATATTGATTTCTTTTTGGGCTGTGATTCGTTATTCTGATACCTGATCTTGCTTTCAGCAAGTTAACCGTAACTGAGATCGCGGCTTGTTCCCTATCCTTTCTCGAATAGAGTTTTTGAACACATCTCACAGCGAGACTCCATCCGGTCCCTTCTTATTTTGTGACACTTCAACCCAGTAACAATCCAAGATACTTTTGCTTCCACTTTGTGCACTGCATTCCATCTGTCCGTGTTTCATACCTCATGGCCCCTTCATCTATCGTTTCCTCTTTTTTTGCGTGCATGTGTAATTCGATGAGCGTAAACCTCGGTTACACTGCGGTATAGTTACCATGGTAACTAAGTCTACTGCTTGTGCCAATGGGACCATTGTGAGCCGCACGTGTCTGTGCGAGTGATTTGTTTGTCTGACCTGCACGTCCTACGTAGATTGTGGCTTTGCTGCTGGTGAATGTGTGCCATGTGGGAGAATGTGTTTGTTGACTTAGGACCGAATGAAAGCAGGTGCAGGGCCAAATCTTTTTGTGAAACTAAACAGTGTCTGACGTGTGTTAAGCCTGGTGTGAGGGCATGTACTTTTGACCACATATACCCAAGGTCAGGATAGCCCAATAGTTAGGAAGCGGACTCACTGACCGCAAGGTCCGTGGTTCGAATCCAATCCAGGCATTCCGACTGCTCTGGGCTTGAGAAAGCTGACAGTGTCTCGGCCCTCGTGCTTCCCTCGTGTGGCACCGAAAAGTGCTACATCTGGACTATTGTTATTCACCATTATTCGTATATGGGAGCGACGGCGTACGTGACGTCTAGCGGCCTATCACAAGATATTCCTCCGGGAAACTGGTGCATACCAAGATGAGTTTTGTTTTTAATTCTGTTCACATACAAACACCGATAGGTCGTGCAGTCCAGCGCTCAGTGGGATAAGAACGTCTCCACAATAGACTTGCTTGTAACGGCACCGGTTGTTGGACCCTGAACCGACATGGCTAAACTCAACACTAGCCTCTTTTTGGGTGCACGTTTGAGAAATGTCATCTGGGTTCCACCTGATTTGTGTCTGACGCTGATGGACTGACTCAGTCACGCACCCCACAGTGTGTATTTCAAGTCGGATATCCTAGTTGGTCATTGGTCAATCCACTGAGCTGGCCAATTTCATTGCATGATTCATCTTATCGAACAAGCCAGCGGCTATCCATGCTACCTTACTTCTGAAGAAAAAAAACTTTGCTGTTTGGGGTTTTGAGGCTGATTTTTTTAATTTTCGAAACGAGACTTGTAGCAAATATCTGATAAGCCAAGAACTAGAGCACTCATTCATTTCTTTATTAAGCTTGGCCAGCGAAGGCTTTGTTCCCGCGGCAACTATCTGACAACCAGTTTTGGTGCCCTATCTACTGAATGTCGAGGTTGCCATACTCCTAGTGTGAGCGCACTCATACGGAATATCTAAAAATGCATCACTGTCTGAAACACGCACCGATAAGCTGATATGACAAAAATTGCTTTCTCGTTTGGAATATAACCCAACTCCCCTTCCCCTTTACTCCGAAATGTTTTCTTGCAAAACTGAACCAGACCGTTCGCAAGCTTCCCGAGAAATCAAAGCAGGTTCGCTGAACATCGATGATATCTCAACTCAGTTCAGCTTGGTTTTCCGGCACGGTGGACTGACTGCCTTTCGGTTGGGTTCGAGCGGGGGGGGGGGGTTCGGGAGACTAACCTTCGTGTTCACCCCCTCTCTCTATGCGACTGTCTTTTAATCCTGCAATACATGACGCGATAAATCCCTCGGATGTGTGACTCATCCACACGAGCATTGTCATGCCCGCTCGCCCATTTATCACTCCCTTTCGTTGGCCAGATGGTTATCGCATGGCAGCGCCACCGTTGTTTATCACGGCCGTCCTTGCTGGCTCAAGGTTGGTTACTTTACATGCGCAGTCTGTTTGCAGACGATTTGACACGCACAAATAACCCACTTTTACCTACCGCCTTCGGTTAGCGTGGAATCATGAAATGAGGTGTGCTGCCGACATCACATGCCTTTGGTTGCTATGTCAACAGGTCTTGGAAGTGTCAATTGTGCAGAGGACTGAGCGCAGTTGATACATGTGCAAACACTCTGCAATAGCTGCGTGTTGACTGAAATGCAGGTGACAGTGAGCGATACGTCTGACCACACGACCACCGCAGTTAATCCGTCGAGCGAATCTCAAAAACAGGCGTGCGAAATAACTCTGTTGTGCGTACGCCACCGGTTCCCTGTTATCAAAGTGGTCAATACTGGCCATGAACGGTTCAAATAGCCGCCATAATCTTTTAGCTGTAGCACTCTTTCTGGTGTCTAGCTGCCAAGCTGACGGAAGGAAGAACGAGGACTGTGGTACTGCCAGGTTGCCCAGGTCTGGACAGGAAAAGTCAAGTTGCTGATGTTGGGTTCGAACCACGGATCTCCCGGTCCGCTATGAGCACAGTTACGTGGGACAAATCTTTCGTTCATTTTCAATTCAGATGGTCTTCACTATCCATCTAATTCCTCTGGTGCATGATAATCTTCGAGGTGTCTGATAATTGCTAAGCTTAGTTTCTCAACACCGGCCGGCCAACTGGGGTTCGAGATCAGATGTTACTCACTCCTATGAGTCGTATGAAACCAAGCTTAGTTTTTGATTCTGTTTCTACAAACTGACCTTCTCACCATTTTTAGCACTTCCGATGTATGCAACTCAAAGCTGCTGTGCCGTTGAGTATGATATTGGTAGTGACTTCTCAATCCGACCAAAAATTTCTTTGCGATCACCACAAATGTTGTTCTAACCACTGTGCTTGTAAGTAGATTTGAGTAGTATGCTATGCCCGGCGGTTGCTGGAATATTGATCTGCTTATGCAACCGGACAAGTGTTGTAGCTAGCTAACTATCTGACTTACTCAGTGCCGTTTTTTCGATGACATCTTCACATGATATTCAAGCGTGCTCAGCACAGACCTCTCCGAAACGTAACCACTCTCCAGATGAGGCAAAACGTCCCCCTCTCTCGTGGTGGTTCTTATTTCTTGGAGAGGCTGGATTACTTTAACGGCGGCGTGAGTTGATGGCGCAGACCATGGTAGGCATGGTTATACGCTGATCCCGACACAAAAATCTACCTTTATATGGCATTTCCCTCTGTTATACGAAGCATGGAGAGGAGCGGTGTGGGTGACCGATATCCAAGAAATTTTTTATCCTCATTTGTACAACCAGATGGGTCGACGTAGTCAAATGAGAACACAATGAAAGTGAACAAAAGTTGACACTGCTCTTCCACCGTATCAGTTCCGGTTGAGTGATCAACAAGTGGCCGTGGAGAAAAAAGTTGGGATGAAATTAGTCATGAGTGCAACGATTTCTTCTCAAAAAAGAGACTATATTGGGATAAGGGTAGACGTATCACCCACACTAGGTCGTGATTAACCGGAGATCCTTCATTTAAGTGGCCTCTTTTTTAGAAAGCTCTGTCTTTGAGAAGTCTGCTGAATTGCTGAGAATGTTGAGCGTAAATTAAGACTTAATTTTACCACTACGTACGCGCTATGTTACGATGAGTTTCCACACTACTGCTCAGAAACCAGGTTTGTCCTGATCACCTCTGTGTCCAATTTCCACTGTTCGTCACTTGGTTCATTTAACTACAGTGAGTAGAGTAGAATTTGACGATAAATCCATCCTTTTTAAGGGGCTAATAGACACGAATAATAGTCCCTCGATTGGGTGATCCATGATTTTTATGTGATGACCTCAAAAGACACTGGGGGTCCTTTATCACGAGTTGTAGAACTTTCATCACCCAATTAGCCTGATTGCGTTTTTCAGTAAGTCTTGTATGATGCTCCGCCTGCACTAATTTTGGATTGGTTCGCAAACAGCAAAAGTACTATTCAGAGTTTTGCTCCGTTTAGTTGTTCAGCGCCAACTGTTTTTTTTTCACGGTGATCACCTACCCTATCAGTGATCTGTCGTGAGCGTGACGTTGCTGTCAACCCATCAGACAGTTTTGGAATAGTATGTGAGTATTGCACATAATATCAGCAGTCTCCCCTTCTCGGACAGACTGTCTGCACCGAGAGATGGTGTTTGGATTATTATCGATCTTTTCTATTCTTCCGAAAGAGTTCGAGAGAGAGAGAGAGAGAACTTGTCACCGGTGTTTGTCTTTTGTCTGTTTCCTCAACCATTTGCTAAGTGATCAGTTTGACCCTTAAGGAGGCACTGAAGCTACACGTTCAAGGTACGAACGATTCTGAACCGGAGTTTTCGGCTTCTGATCAAATCTTCTTCTGTTTAAAGTTTTGTACTTCTGGATTGGTCAGCGTTTCCGAGCAACATTATTTTTACGGGCAAAGTTGAAGTGATTTTTCGCCGCGGCACATGCGGGAAACCCTTCAGGGGAATTGGACCACCCCCAACAAAGTTGCCTCGCTAGATGAACTAAGGAATCGCTTTTATTCGCATTCGCTACACCCAGGTGCAGGTGTGTCTGGTGACTGCTTGACTTTTCTATGATTACCGATCCTACTACGTCACGTGATGAGTCCCAATCAAGTAGAGACGCATGGTAACTGGTATTACTTCATAGACTTAATACACTACTCATAAGGTTGCTGAAAACCGATTTTGCCTTTCTTGGGGCCTTATGTACCAGTTCAGTTTGCGAATGTATGCGCGGGTGTTTGACTCCACAGTTGTCTGCTTTCTGTTCACGCACAAAGCGATCCAACTGCCACAACAGCAGCACTGTTCGGGCGATCATAGCCAACTATGGTAAATGAGTTCCAAGTATCCTACGCTTACAGCACTCAACCGAGAGGCTTCTGGGATAAAATCCAGCTCCTACGTTTCGATTACTTCTGCCCAAGTTTGGGAGAACTGGCAGTGTTTAAATCCATATAATTCATCCCTTTTGAATGACAGCTATTCACGGAAAGAACGCCACATCTAAACTATCTGAACTGACATCTACTGATCGCGTACCGTATTGATCCAATCGCTCCGATAATGATTGGGTTAGAATGTGATAGTTGCTTGGAGCTGTTCACTTAAAGAAGGTGTGCTTTGTATATTTGGGAGAGGTGTGTTCGCTTCCAGAAGATTCATTCGCTTCAACCGGGAATCGGCTAATCGATTTTGAAGAGGGAGCTCGAGTGGAGCACGCAATTTTTCACCCTTTTGGAAAGCTTGTTTGTTTTTTATGCGCGGTTTCCCAATCATTTCCGTGTTATGTGGCGCTTATCTACTTGGTCAGTCGTTTGCCTGGTTCCTCTCATTTTTCTCCTGCTGGTTCACAGGGCACATATTGTAGAAAAAAACTTTGTTTCCCGTGGGAATCACACGTTTTTGAGTATTGGACTCAGTTTTTAAACCAAACTATACGATACGCCACCAAATGTGACATTCGTTTATTGTCAACCTGTATGTGTTTGAACGTTTATGAACGTACTCTGAAGATTTCTCTTTGGTGCGATCATTCTGGTTTGTCCTCACCAAGGGGAGAAAGCACTGGACTTGAGTTCCACTCATATAAGCAATCATCAGCACTGTATATCGTCGTCTTCCGCAAAAACAAATGAATAAATCCTTTAGCTCTAGCACTCTTTTGGTGCCTAGCTGCCACACGAACGAGGCACGAGGTATGGGATAGTGCCAGGTCGCCCAAGCCTAGACAGTAGAAGTCGAGAGGCAGAGGTCGGGTTCGAACCGCGAACCTTCCGGTCAGTGAATTCGCGCTCCAACCACTTGGTCCATCTCGCTCATCTCGTCTTCCTTGCCAGGATTCGAAGCCCGGCCATCTGACAGTGTTCAATCCTTTGGTGTGGGCTAATCCGAATAGGTACGCTCAATAAAGGGGAAGGATCGAGGATACAGACATACGAGGTCATTGTCGACCGGTGAGCTGGCGTTCCTCATCAACATCTTGCACTTGCTTGGAGAATCGTTTTCGAAAGAAAAAAAACGGTTATCTAACTGCTATCACCTGATCCGATACGAGGATATCTACCGTATTTCTTCCGTTGTAGCCGCAAGCCTATCGAGTTTTACCAAAAAGGATTCGGTCTCAGTGTCGATAGGTTAAGAGGCCAGTCTTTGCAGGGCACATAACCCTACCTATCTGAATTGTTTGGTCAATCTCCCGGTGGTATACCGATTTTGTTTTATGTTTATTTTGATGCAATATCTGCCGAATGTTGCTCGTGTCTGTCCTGGAACAACTTTGAGTTCTATCTATGCCATCATCATCATTCACACGGATTCGTTTTGTGAGTGCATACTGACTGGTTTTTTGACACGCACGTTTTACGAGACGGCGCTTTGTTTGGTTACATCAGAGAAGGAGCCATTTTCTTATTCAGTGCACCACCTATCGCCTATGCCAATTGGCACTTGTCCAACACACACTTAGCATGGTCTTTATGCTGATAAGTTTTCAATTTCTGGCAAAGGGGACATGGTGTTGTTGTCTTGTGGTTTTCCAATTCATTTTTAGCGTCCACACTTGGTTGATTAGCCAGACGTGTCCATCTGCGCTACCTGAGCTACACACATTTTCCTCTATAGGTTTATTCCTTGTTACCCTCCGATTGAATTCATAGAAAATGATCGGTTGGGTTCTACTGGGTACTCAGTAGTTAGAGTCATTCTTGAATGGTCCCGCACCGATGATGTCTCTTCGATTGGGAACATAACTTTTCCAATCCACTTGCCAAGCTCGGTGAACAGACCAACATCCAGTAAGTACACTCGAGCTACTCATATTCGTCAAGGATGCCTGGTCCATATGGGCTTGTTGTCAAAATCCGCTCGAGAGGTCATGTTCCTTGTGGGGCAAAAAGCTCGCTTCTCTAAGCAGTCAACTTTGTTTTTATCACGTCTTAGTCCGTTTTCTGACGTTCTGCGTGAGCCATTTCAGGTTAAGACCTCATGGTTAGACAACAAGTGTCAAGATGTCGACCGGATGCGTACTGTTCATGCTACGAACTGCTCCAATTTCTCCCAGACTACTGTGGTCCCGCTTTTCGCAACCGCTCATCAGCTAAACGGAACTACAAAATCTGTTTTGAATGTGTGTGTTGCCTTTGAGGTCTGTTTGACCTTGAAATTTATATGAGCGGAGACAGGCCTGCTTGCTACGCGAGACCCTGGCTACATACCATAGTTTTAAATATTTTCAAGGCTGCTTTGTAAGGGCATTCCTAATTTGTTTAAGCCAGCCAGGGTGCAATCATACCTTGAGACAGAGCGAAACGATCGTATTGATGAGATGAAGCAATACCATCCTCAAACCAGTCTACCATTATATGTGTGGAGGGTTTTGGGGAGCGGAAAACGGTCCATCCTTCATTTGACTGGCAAGTTGTTTGATTTAAAATTCAAAATTCGGCAATCGCGAAGCAACCACTGCAAGTCCCCGATATGCTGACCGAAGCAACCGTAAGTTTACGTCTGTGGATAAAAATGCATCGCCCAAAGCTGAGTAGGAGAACCTAAACACAGTAAACATAGTTTCAGTTTGCGGCACACTGTCAGTAGTCCCAACCTTTTAGCCTCTTTGAGGTGAGACAGGGATCTGTTCGTCTACCCTCTCTATAGTGTTTATTCTTTGAGCTTGGATTGGTTCTGAAGAGAGCACAAGCAAACTACGAAATAGTTTTTATCGATCTGTCGAAAGTTTGAAAGTTGACGCCTTACTGGTGTCGTTGGAAGCACAACCCGGGTTGTTTATAGTAGATCAGATCATTATGGAGTGAAGTCTTGACTGGTTGTTTGCACTTGAACATTGGCAGTGAGCGCGGTTCGAGCGTAAACAAATAGGGTGAGTAGTAGTCAACATTAGACAGCAGGCATCTATCCCAGCTTGATTCCATTGGATGAAGTGTTCGCTAGTCTCTCCAAAGTGTGCCGTTTGAACCCCAGATAAATGGGGGGAAAAACGAGCTGTTTATCAACCGTTCGTTTTTTCCGAAGCCGTTGGAATAACCAAATCTAGGGGGGGGGGTAACGATCGGAAAACCAATGAATTTGTCATTCCACTTGCAGTTGATCCCACCAACTTCTTTGTTATTTTTGGCTCGGAAACTATTTCGCTTGTGAACGGATAGAAAAAAGCTTGACGCGAATATGGTGGGACATTTGTTCTGTGGCTCTAATGATATATTGATTTCAAACCCGTTACATTTGCGGTGAAGCAAGGAAGCAAGCACCCCTGGGCATTTTGTGACGACTGCAGTTCATTTATCTGTCTAGTGATACACATAACTGGGACGAACGGTATTGAACACAATCATGTAATGAATGGGCAAAATAAGTTCACAAAGTGAAAAAAACGTTTTGGATACTTTTCGAAGCTATTCCATTTTCAGGAGTAGTGTGGTTAGATGCAGATATGACGTTATCTGTATACCAAGCGTTCAAGCCTTCAGGGGAGCGACATTTCTGATTGTAAAGTACAAAATCATTCCTCATGCGCCATGTCGCACCAAGTAAACTTGGGTTGAATTCATTTGCTGTCGTTGGGTATTTGACAGTGTTTTCGTAAAACCCCTGGAGAGGATATATTTTGCGATTGGGGGCTACTTTGGGTTTCGCGACGGGTGTAATTTATTGCAGTTGATGTTCATCAGTGATGCGTGACTTGTCGTTGGCTGATCCGCAGACGTGAAGCTTCCTGGAACTGGCGAAACACACGCATTTGCAAACAAATTTGGTTTTTCGAGAGACTCACCTGGAACCCTCTCTCGTGTGTGATGTGTCCAGGCAACCGAATGTGCGGCACCAGGCCGCCTCACATACATGTATATATGTAATGCACTACTCACAAGGTTGCTGAAAATTCTTCGACAGCCCACGACCGGTTTTACCCTTCTTGGGGCTCATCAGGTAGGTGCAATTCCCGAGTTTCCGACAACCTTATGTTCTACCTCGAACTGCCTCATTGATCGAGGTTAATCTTGCCTTGACGAGCAGGATACTTTCTGATCATTCTCGAAGTGGACACTGGGTTCTATGCACGCTCAAACTGTGTAGTATATAAGGTTAAAACTTGAGTTCAAATCCGACTGATTACTTTACCGAATTTCGTGTAATGAAAATATCAAATTGTTCAGTAGTTATACCATTACTACCCGGGTAAAATGAAGTGGGATACAAGTGGCCTAATCCGTCGGAGCGGACACAAAAAGTGTTGACTAAACTGCGCTATTCGCGCAAATTTTCACGGCGCACTGGATGTTTGGACGGGGATTTGAGCTGCCACTAGTTAGTCGCGTCCAGATATCGCTCCTGTGACCAGACACGCTTCAGTCTATTGCCCCAATCGAATGAACCGTTTCCGATTGGTCCACCTGATTGCACATGGTAAAAGATTAATCCCTCTATAAACATTCACATCATCGGGCATTGCGGACAAAAAGCGGTTCTCTGAGAAAAGCGCTTGGATATGTGGGAACCTCGACTACCACAACATTTGAGCTTAGTTTATGTAATTCGAGTTACCTGACCAAATGTTCTCCATCTGCCTTAGGACTTTATTACGACGTCGATCGATACTCACTCGTTCACTCAGTCCTGCCCGGCCATGCCCTTACCGTCTACCGCCACATTTCAAACCATAAAACGATTCCATATATCGATTTCATTGGCGGTCTTATACTTGTGGCACTGGTTTTGGTCTGCCTTATTGGACAAACTTATTGGCGCAAACTGGCCGTTAGTCTCTCGGACTGAACAGTTCCTCAGTGTGTACGTGAAGTTGTTCGCTCATTTTGTGATTGGATAAAGTGAATGATGGCTCCTCAGGACAGTTCAGCGGTTAAGTGTCAGCCTTAGGTCATAACGTTGTTTGAAGTACCAAAGAATTGAATCCGACAGTTTCTCCTACACCGCATTAGTTTATGTAGTCAAATGGAAAAGGTGACAGCTGTAGCACCCTTTCGTTGCCTAACTGCCAGGACACCCGAAGCAAGCACGAGGGTTGCCCAAGCCTAGACAGGGGAAGTCGAGAGGCAGAGATTGGGTTCGAACCGCGGACCTTCCGGTCGGTGAATTCGCGCTCTAACCACTGAGCCGTCTCGCCCCACTTGGTTAAAACCGTCCGCTCAAGCATATCTGTGGTTGCACATCAAAACAAGCACACATTACCTGGTCTGACAGTATGGCGGTAGACCTCAGTGATGCAGCCACTTACATTCATTACCGCAACCTCATCTCGCTGGATAGGGGGGGGGGCTCTAAGCTGGATATTTTGATGTGCAATTAATCAGGAATCACCATCATGTGCACCAGTGATGACACACACAGCTCACTGTTTTCAACACTCTTCAAGCTTTCACACCATTGTCTTGAGCTGTTAACAGGCTTGTAAAGTTAGTAAACTGTTCACGAGCGTCTTCGTGTGAAGCACTGAAACGGTTTGTGCGGTCTCATGTGCGTTTGTGAGTCATGCATTGGTAACAAGCATCTTGCATAACCGCTTCGTATAGGTTTCCGATGAACTTCCTCCCACATACTGAGGAGGCATGTATTACACCATCTGCCTATCTATTTGGTTAACTAAATCGCGCATTCTTGCTGCTTGTTTTAGTGAACAACACACGAACTTTATGCCTGTAGGCTGGCTAAAAATCGATACATTGCTTTGATTGCACGTGATCATCCGTTCAATACCCTTACTTCACACACGTATCTTCTGTGGTCTCAGAATGTTCATAGTAGCCTACGTTTATGCATTCCATTTTATGGCCATCCAACACCGAAGCGTACTCGTAGAGTTTCAGATTTGTGTGTCAACGCTGCTCCTTGGAAGATAACCAGGTTAGTCGACTAGATCAGCTCACAAAGGTGTTTTCCCTAGAAAACTTCGTTTTCACCCTTTTCTCAGTGAGTGTAGCTCAGTAGCATCAGAACGGTCATAAATATGGAATCAGTGTATTATCAGGGGACATAATCTTGATACTATAACTATTCGGAAGGTTTACTATACTAATAACGATGTGGTTGTTGTCCCGAGTTAAAACGTCAAATATTCCAACCAAAATAAACGCACATCCGTTTGGAATGCACTTTGCACTTAAAAAGTGCAAATCGTCCTGGGTTTGGAAAAAGACAGCATACCAGCTGGCCAGTGCATCGTCCCCGTTAGTTAGATCGATAATTCGTAATGTATTTTTAGATGGGTTGGTCTCGTGCTTTTGTTTCCGTTGAGAGATGAAGCTGGCCTACTTCTGGTCGGCTTATTGAAACCAAACAATTTCGAAAAGGGTGTTCTCCCCATAAGCTTATTAACGGATGCCCACTTTATGGACTTCATAATAGTGTTAGGCTCGACGCTTTCGATGTGTTTGCGAGGCCTGCATCTCGATCACCATACCGCACTGGGGTCGGCCATTTTTACAGTGGAAGATAAGACGCCAACAATCGTGGAATCCAACTCCAGGATGCACTTAAACAGCAGCGAATTAGGAAGCTAAACTATTGGGGAGCCGTCAGAAACGCTCCCATCAGCATTCGATCATAGTAACAACTCAGTTGGCCTGGGTAAGATACACGGTGTCCTGACCTCCCTCTGAGCCTATGCCGAAAAAAAGCTGATACGAACATGAAACTCTCCTAACGGCTTCTACTTGGCGTAACCCTGGGAACTAAGACTGGGTGTGAGCACTGCCTGTACAGTTCATCACGTGATCATGTTTTCAAACATTTTATTCGTAATGTGAATCCAGGGGAGGGATGAATCAATGGTTAGATCGCGAATCCACTGACTGGAAGGTCCGAGGTTTGAACCCGACCTCTGCCTTTCGACTTCCCTTGTCTAGGCTCGGGCAACCTGGTAGTATCCCGGCCCTCGTGCTTCGTTCTGGTGGCATGGCAGCTAGGCACCGAAAGGGTGTTGCGGCTGAAGGATTTCGGATAACTTGGTCAACCGGGGTGTGACCTGTCCGCCGAACTTCGGCTTCTATAAGTTTCCAAGACGTTGAAGACCCTTCGTCTTGAGGTCGGGTGTAAACTGACTGAAAAGACCACTGGACTAGAAACGACTTATTTTTGTGTGTTCCGCCCACTTTGCATTGGCTACTTGTGTTTCGTTTCAGAGCGCTATCTTGATTGTTAATTAATTAGTAAATAATGATAACCGTTGAGCCTTTCGATGCTTAGCCGCTACGCCACCCGAAGGAAACACAAAAGCTGAGATACTACTACCAGTTTGCCGAAGTCTAGACAGGAGCAATCAAGATGCTGAGGTTGAGTTCGAACCTCATACTCTGCGGTCATTAAGTTGGCGCCTTAACCACTGAACTTACGGGTGAGATGGCCCAAGTGGTTAGATCGCGAATTTACTGATCGAAAGGTCCGTGGTTCGAGCCCGTCCTCTGCCTCTCGACTCCCTCTGTCTGGGCTTGGGCAACCTGACAGTATCCCAGCCCTCGTGCAACCTGCGGGTGGCAGTTAGGCACCAAAACAGTGCTGCCGCTGAACGATTTTCATATCAGCTCGATCGCTAATGTCCTACCTGAGTTCTATCTTTGTGTTGTCCTCGGGCTTTGTACGGTGCTTTCCGGTGGAAATTTGATGAGGCATTTCGGTGACCGAGTTGAATTGAGTTGATTCACCATTCGACGGTGCTCAAGTTGTGCCAACTAAGAATATTTCACTAGAAATCGTGAAGAGAAACGTTCGAAACTGAACTTGCGCATGCCTGACGTAATTCATTTTTCAAAAGATTTTATTACGTTGATTACCACGGGAGTCGTTTGCTTCAGTGTGGAAATTTTCAGCCACACATAAAATTTTTATTGCGAATAGTCGAGACAAAGCAGTGATGTCCGAAATACGAGTTTTGTTGCCTGTTCCGAACCACAATATCTGCTTTCGCTGGAGGATGACTGTTGCAAAAGTTGAAACGTAAAAAAGAGGTTTCATTGCAGTTTTTATATGGAGGCCAGCTGCTCTTGTACCGTTCAAGTGGCATTCCCCGATAGCGATAACCTTGCAGACTCTCCGAAGGATTGGCTTGAAGAGACTTCTTCTGGAGGGCTACTGTATACATGCCTTACACAAAAGGTGTTACTTCAGTCCAGTCGACCGAATGAACAGCAAAACTGTTCACTCACTCCTCTGCATACAGCTCGCCATAATCTCTCTAATTTTAGAAAATCTGAGCTTGAGATAGCTCACTTACTGATCGGATGATCCGTAGTTCGAACCCAACCCTAACATTCCTACTGTTCCCATGTAAGCTTGACCAAACTAACAGTGTTTCAGCTCTCGTGCTTCCCTCGAACAGCCAAGCGACTAGATTTCTATCACAAAGTCTTTGCCAAGGTTTCGTTGCTGCCAGCCTTTTGTCATCAACAGAATTTCAACGCAGTGATAAATAGGCTTAATGGTATGCTGCTTGGAACTTCTCTTTGCTGCCTTTAGCAACTCGGTACTGGCAGAGCTCCCGGGATTTTAGCTCATGCGTGGACGATATTAGCCCTCAGGGGTGTGAAATGTTTTGAATACCCTAAATTAATAGTAATAATAACACTCGTTCATCTTCCAGTACCCACCTGTCGTGCCACCAGACGGAAACACTGGGGCTGAGATACTGCTCAACCCCAGACATGAGCGGTTGAAATGCTGATGTAGGGTTCGAATCAGGGTCCCTTCTGTCACTAAGTTCTCCGCTTATAACCACTGAGCTATCTCCCGCGCAGTCCGGTATTTGCCGAACACCTGCAGGCTGCAAAGCGCTACGAGGAAGCTCATACCCGTACAGCGACCAATCGTCTCAGCAAATGTCCATACAATTTTATGGTAAACTGATCTAAACAAGGTGATTCTTTGAACAGAAAAGGTCAGGACAGTCATTTTTACTGACACTTGCCCTCCGGCAT